AAAAAAAAAAATGCTCGTTTCCAAGCCCAAATTGTGTCTAAACCAAGGACTGGTCAATTATATTTATTTTTAAATAAGTTAATAAATATTTATATATTTTTTAATATAACAAAAATATAAATTTAAATATTTTATCAAATATGATTGAATTTATATTTTTATATTAAAAACAATTAATTATCATTCAATGTGTTCTATATTTTAAATAATTTTAATTAAATAATAAATATATTTAGAAAATAATTATTTAATTTTATTTTAATTATAGTGGTTGATTAAAAAGTAAAATATAAATGTAGAAGTTAATGAAATTTTTAAAAATAAAAATAAAAATAAAAATAATATCAACTATTGTTGGCTTGAAAAAAAAATTTGAATATATTGGTTATTTAATTAAAAATAATTTGAAATATAGAATATATTGTATAGTAATTTTTCTTTTATCTCTTTTTTACTATCAAATATTGTTATATAGTCACAGAATAAAAATTGCAACAAAAAATAGTACAAATTCTATTTTTTCAACATTTAGGAATAAATTTACAACACAGACCAATCTTATGGGATTATATTTGCAATTTCCTCCTTTTTCAAACTAATACTAACTGCCACGTTACTCACCCATGACATATCCGTTAATTTTTTACGGTGTAGGACTACTTTCGCAACAAAAATAAGTCAACTTGTAACGCCCATATTTTTATTTACTATTTATGGAGCTCGACTATATTTCCATAAATATTTAGTTTCTAAATTTGATGCATTTTTATTTTTATTAATTGCATTAAATTAAATAATTAGTATCAAAGTCTAAGCCATGGAGTATTCATTCGATTTTAATTATTAAAGTCGGATTCATCTAGCCTAAGTATCGGTTACATTTTTAAAACCGAGTCTTGGATCAATTGAAATTTTATTTAAGCGGATCAAAGCCCGAATATTTAATTTATTCGAGCCCAACCATTTTTCGAGCAAGCCCAATAATTTTAGCCGGCCTATTTATTCAATTAATTTTATGTAACCGAGCGTAGGATTTCTATTTTTCTAGCCCGAGTACATAGTCGATTTTTAAATCCGAGCCAATAGTCGATTAATAACCGAGCCCGATCTATTAATTGTAAGGCCCGTTTTTTTTTAAAGCCCAAGTTTGGAAGCCCAAGAACACAAACCCTAGCTCCCTACACTCATATATAAATAAATGTTTTGTCCCCCTTTTTCCAACACAAACACACCAAACCCTAACCACCACTCTACTATTCATCTCCTTCAACATATTCAACATCCATCATCTCCTCCATCTTCACCTTCAAGCTCCAGTTTTCCGGCGACCCTCACCTCCGGCCGGCGAGCTCGTTTCACGGCAAGCTCCAGCACACGCAGCTCCGCCCAGCTCCTCCACGGTGTTCCCGCCGTCAAGCTCGCCGTCGTTTTCCGGTGAGCTCGAGCCCAGCAACCACAGCTCAGCCCACAGCCGCCGTTCTCAGCCCCTGGCCGCCATTCGCGTCCTCACACCGACAGCATCACGTTTACAGTAGCTCCGCCGCTGTTCGTTGCCTCAACCACCGCGACCAACCATCCCAGCTCTGCTCACCGTCGTTCGCGAGCTCTCCTCTCCGGCCGTCCGACGAGCAGCGTTCACTCCGGCGTTAGCTCGTCCTTGAGCAGTCCAACTCAAGCCACCCTTCACCATTTCCGGCGAGACCTTGCAGCAGCTCCGTTTTTCCGGCGAGGACCGTGCAGCCAGCTCCTTCCCGTCGAACCCACAGCAGCTACCCGCGCCGACGAGCTCGATTCCGGTCCTTCCCGACCAGATCCGCGACCAGCTGCACCAACCGACCCGAACCAGCGCACCAGCGAGCCATACCCGACCCTCTCACCTCACATCCGGATCCGACTCGTTTCATTTCACTCGATCCATTTTCCTAGCTCGATCTACTTTCGGTTTATCCGATCCGAGCCGATTTAAGGTATATCGGCTAAAACTCGATTCCAATGGCTTAGATACGATTATCGAATAATTATAAAGTGAGATTTGAATAAATCGGGATTTTCGGGCTTGAAGCGACTATTTCGGACTTTTTAAATAAATTTGATAAAACGTCGAAATAAATACCATTAAATTCGTTGCGTTGATTTGAGGCTTAGGTGCGAATTTGAGAATTTTCGGACTTCGTTTGATAGGCGAACGAGCCGGTCAAATGTGTTGACCGGTCGTAGCGATCTTGAGTTGACTAGTCTAGGAGTTGACTTTGGACTTGAGACGTTGACCATGGACCGAACATATATTGACGATGCTATGTTGCGAATTTCGTGAATTTTGGATGTCGTTTGACTGAGATTTTAAAATCGGGACTTTAGCCGTTAATTCGAGAAATATAGAAAAATAGTCCGGTTAATACTTTAGCTGCAGTTGTGAATTATAAATTGATATATAAATCACATAGAAAATATATATTAAACATCGGCCTTAAATGAGTTAGGATTTTCGAGAATCAAAACCCTAGTTTTATCCGGATCCGTTTTTTCTTGGTTTCTTTGGTGAAATAAGAAAGATCACCAAACTTTGGGTCTTGGACTGCTGTTTGGGTCTTGGACTAAGTTAATCCTTGTCAAAGATACACCAACCTTTGTGGGGAAGTACCAGAAAGCATAGCTCACCTGTTTGTCCATTGCCCAAGAAGCAAGAGATGCTGGAAACTGTTAGGCATAAACTGGGAGGAATTCAAAGAAGAAAACTTCACCTTCATGAATTGGTGGAATGGCATATGTGTCAGCAGGGGAATGAAGAAGAAGCAGGAAAGAATGTCATTATCTGTGTGTTTATTATTGAGGATTTGGAAGGCTAGGAACAACTCAGTGTTCAGAGGTGAAAGCAATCAAGAAGAAGAAGTTGTGGCTGGGGCTAAGAGGGATTGGTTGGAGTTTACAGGACAAAGTATTGCCAGAAAGCAGCATACTGTGACGAACTTAGCCTTTGACAAGGAAATGGGAGAAGATTTTTCCAAGGGAGTAGGACCGCAGGTCAGTGCTCTAATTTCTCCTGATGGACTTGTTGGGGCAGGGTTAGTAACCGAACTTGGAGATCATACACTTTATCAAGGACAAAAGAGGTGGTGCTGGGCAAGGACTCAAGTCGATGCTGAGCCACTTGGTGTTAGATGGGCTCTGCAAATGGCTGTCCAAAGTGTTAGTGACAGGTCTTAATGATAGAAATCTGCAGCAGTTGGGTGTTAATGTGGATTGTAAGAACATTTAGGAGGATGTGTTGCACCTTAAGCTGTTTGCTTATTTTCTTTTTCTTCTCCTAGCTTTGTCACCATATTGGCCTTTCAAGGGGGGAATAGGTTGTTATTTCTCCGGTTTAGCCACTCGGCAGTTAGGGCTTCAGATGGTTATCAATTGAATACCTCCTTGTAGTAAAAGACCAGAAACTCATCGGTCACCTTTACTAGAGTCAATCAGCATGAAAATTAGAACAAAAATTCAAACCATTATATATACCTTACCTTATCTTAATGAAGAATTTCTGATTTATTGTCTCCTTCAGGTGGACAGTGTTATTTCGATAAAACCTGATAAGCGACTCATTCACTTGCTCCTTATAATAGTTGGAGCTATCAAAATTAAAACACCATAGACAGCGGGCCTTCGGTGAGACATGGTTTAGCCCAACCGAAATTTTCACCCATTTCTGTAAGCGTATCTTCATAGTCGTTCTGTAAAAATCATTTATCGTCGGCTTCTTCTCTTTGATGTTACGTATAAACCGTAGTTTATCCGTTACCGTCATGATGACAAAATGATTCAAAATCAACCTCTTTCGCTTCAAACTGAAATTCAGGAATATATCACAATTACAGTGATTAATGCATAAAATAATATCACCAAACAAGACTGATAGAGGAAAAAATTGAGAAGCTTACCAATTTTTGTCTTCCAATCTCAGAACCAAGTCCTTTAGAAGAGGTACAGAGTATAAAAACCTAGTACAATAGAGCGTATAACAAGTGCAGTCGAACGAAAATCTAGTTTCCTATTGTTAGATGAAACAACATTTAAGTCTACGACCCTCAGTTTCTCTATTTTGCCGTATTTGAAGACTCTGGTAAACACTGAATCCACCAAAGGACTTTCTCTTCTTATGCAGCTTAATTATCAACTTAATCATGTCTAAGAAAAAATATTGATACGATCTCAGGTAGAGGTACGGTATTGAAGGCTGCTCCAAAGGAAAGAAAACTTCAACCTTCGTCTTTTTATATGAAGAAAACATGTGAATGTATTTATTGGAATAGACATTGTGCGATGATGGATAACATTGTAGTAGAATGCAAGAATTCAGGCTGCAAGTTAGTCTTTTTATACGAAAAAGACTAACTTGTTTTCATTTTTCAGCCTGAGTTCTTGCATTCTACTACAATGTTATCTATCATCAGGTGAGATAGATAGTGCATAGTGTCTATTCCAGTAAATACATTGACATGCTTTTTTCGTATAAAAAGACGAAGGTTGAAGTTTTCTTTCTTTTGAAGTAGCTTTCAACGCCGTACCTCTACTTGTCAAGGTCGTATCAATATTTTTTCCAAGTGATTAAGTTGATAATTAAGTTGTATGAGAAGAAAATGTTGATTTAGTCTTACTAATATTGAAGTCTTCAAATACGGCAAAATAGAGAAACTGGAGTTCGTAGGCTTAAATGTTGTTCCACGAAAAAAAAGGAAACTAGATTTCCTTTCGGCTGCACTTGCGCTGTATTGTACCAGGATGCTCTGTACCTCTTCTAGAGGACCTGGTTGTGAGATTGGAATGCAGAAATTAGTAAGCTTCTCAGTTTTTTTTTCTATCATTGTTTGATGATATTATTTTATGCATTAATCACTGCAATCGTGATATATTACTGAATTTCAGTTTGAAGCAGAAGAGATTGAGTTTGAATCATTTTGTCATCGATAACGGATAAGCTACAGTTTATACGTAACATCAAAGAGAAGAAGCCGACGATAAATGATTCTTACAGAAAGGAAGATGCGCTTAAAGAAATGGATGAAAATTCCGGTTGGGCTAAACGATTTCTCACCGAAAAAGGTCCGTTGTCTATGGTATTTCAATTCAAGCATAGTAAGTATTTTGATGGCTCCAACTATTATAAGGAGCAAGTGAATGAGTTGCTTCGCAGGTTTTGTCGAAACATCACTGTTCACATGAAGGAGACAATAAATCAGGTCAGAAGAAATTCTTCATTAAGGTAAGGTATATATAATGGTTTGAACTTTTTGTTCTAATTTTCATGTTGATTTCCAGAGTCCTACGTACAATGTAAAGGTGACCGATGAGTTTATGGTCTTTTACGTGTTTTCCCAGTTATAGCTTTCCAGGCGAAGCCGTGGAAATATGATGTATTGCACAAATTCCAGGTACAAGAAAGTGTTCTCATTCTCTCTGTTCTTTTTTTTTTTTCTNGCAGTGAGTGGGCCTGAAGTTTAACGAGCTGGGGCTTCAGGTATGTATACAAAGGGCACATGGGCATGCATATTGGTTTTATTTTTTCTCTGATGGACACAGAAATTACACACTACTTAGTCTCGTTTCATATCTTGGATGATCTCTTTCTTTTTCCCTTCTCGTGTGTTCATTGTCTTGTTCTTAGTTGCTTCATTCGTTTTGTTAGTTGTATTGACTGCATTATGCCTCAATGCTGATTGTGTATGCTTCATATCTTGTGCTGTGTGTTGTGCTGTTTTGTTTTGAATCCTCTGTTGTTTGTTCCGTGCTTTGGGAAGGGTTTGTGATTCTGACCCTTTGTGTTTCAAAGTTTTTCTCCTGTGTCCAGTAGTTTAGGGATTTATAATGGGCATGGTGGTCTTGAGACCTCACGGTTTATCAACGAACATCTATTTCAACATATAAAAAGTAAGTACCTTTAAAGATTAAGAGAATCTGGATTCTGGGATTTTTTCAACACTGATTGCTTAGGGAGTTTTCAGAATATTAGCTTTTACTGGTGCTTTATTTTTTGTAAAAGCCCGAAGTAGGGAGATTCTGGGCTTTGTTGTGTTTGCCTACCAAAACTATAATGACATTGATTAATTGAGAGTGTTTTTTAAATAGGTTAGACTTTTCTGTTTTTTGTAAGTCAAATGGAAGCAAAATTATAAACCTAAAGGCTAAAGCTGAGGAGAGCCCTTTCTCTGTAATTGAATTATGATTATAAATAGGAGAATCACATAATCATAAGAGGAGTTGGATTTGCAAATTACCAAAAACTTCAATGCAGAAGCACTCTTTAAGGTTTGTCAGTAATTTTAGAAATAATGAAGTTCTTGGCAGTTTCGCTTTATTCTCACAAATGCTTATTGTTACATCAATGAGGAAAAATGCTATTTGATTTTGCCCTTTTGCTAAGTGTGTGTAACTCAGAGCACATCCACGGCCGGGAAAGGAAGCCTGTCCTGTTTCAGCTGTCGACTCTGGATGGCCAACAGGCTATTTTGTCATTTTTTTTTTTCTTTTTGTTCCTCAGTTTACTTACTGAATACACAGCTTCAGACGAGTGTTGTTCTTTATACCAATTAATGTCTTTTACTGTTTATATTTTTTTAATCTGATAATTAGAACTTTCTATGCAGGATCAGAGTTGAGTTACTATGGGAGCTATAGAGCAGATACTATGAGTTGAGTTGTGAATCAAGTTTTGTTCTTCTCAGTACTGGACATGCTGACACCCAGTTGTTCTTTCTCCTCTGTTAAACCGTGTCTTTTCTAATTTTTAAAATCGTGTCCTCTAAAACTTCTCTTTTTATTGTGTTTTTATTTTTTGTTCTATTTTATTAATTATTTTTTTCGGTAATTGTTTGTATTCAATATTTGAGCTTTGCTATTTTGATCATTATTATGGTAAGCTATGTTAGACAGTTTGTCAACAACTATATTGTTTAAATAAATATGCATTGTTGCATACTTTCAGTCTTTCACACTTACACTTAAACTTTACTAGTATTTGATCCGATATTTAAATTATTATAACGTATAAGTTACATGTATGTGTATAATTGTAAAATTAGAAGTTAAATAATAGTATTACATTTTAAGAATTTTATCATTAGTAAAAGTGAACATCATAGAAGTATTCAAATTCATCATTATGTTTATTGTATAAAATAAAATGGATAATTATTTTTTATTAAATTCAACTAATATAGTGTACAATCTTGCATAAAATTTTTGAATTTGAATGAGCTGGTGTAAAGATCTCTATTACAAAAGATGGGTTTCCTTATATATATTTTGGGTTGTATATATAACATATCAATACGTAATACTTCTTTTGAATGTGAATAGTCAAAATACAAATTAAAATATATATATATATATATATATATTTTTTTTAACCATTCAAATTTTAAACATTATCTTGTAACCATGCGAAAGTTACAGTCTCTAAATATAGAGACAAAAATGGTAATCATATGCAACTGTTACAAATCCAAAATATAGTAAAAAAATAAGTGGATGATTGTATGGATTAAATTAATATATATATATATATATATGTGTGTGTGTGTGTGTGTGTGTGTGTGTGTGTTGTAACGGTTTTTGGATAGAGGTCATAAATATTTTTATTAAATGAACTCATATTTTTATTAATTGTTGGTTGAATAAAATTTTTTGAAACTTACCAGCAATTATATATAGATAATCAATCTTTCTCATCACAACAATTATTTCAATTTGTTTGGTATCTAGCCCTACTTAAGTATTTGTTTTATTTTATTTTGTGTATTAATCCACTAGAAAATTGACTACCAGACTTTGGGATAAATATGAATAGTATATACACATATATGCTACAAATAGTGTAAAAGAGTGAATTCATTAGTCATGTTTCTCGCAGAACCTATTAATTTATTTTTTTAATTAATTATATTTTTTATACTAAAACATAAACCATATCTCAAAATACACACAAGTTACAAAAAGAAACTTAATAGTTGAGTTTCGGTTTAGTTAATATTTAATATATGTGTGATGTATCAATTAGTTTATGTTTAGTTTATTTGCGGTTTAGTTAATATTTAATATATGTGTGATGTATCAATTAGTTTATGTTGGGAATATACTGAGTATGTTGTTGTTGTTTATTTTAACAATATATTAGTCCATTGACACGTTTATATTAATATAATATTAACATATATATTTATTTTTTAGTACAAAAAAAATTATTATTTATTCAAAAATTTATTGTCGTATAATGTCATTGTTATTTATAACACTTATCAATATTCTTTTTTTATATAATGATAAATATTTAAGATATATTAATATTATTTGTTGATGTAGTTGATTTAAAAATATATAAGCAAATTTAATTTTGTTACAAATGTGATTATATGGAAGTTAAGATAAAGTGGAATATATCTAAAACAATCTACTTATGATATTTTTCTTTAAATGTTTGAATGAATTTAAAATTTAAATTACAAATCAACCGCCAGTTTTTAAGAATTTTAAAAAAGTTACAATTTTAGTAAAATTCAAGATTTTAGGAGGGAGTTTACTTCTACTTAAAGTAAATCCCTATTATGATTTTATAATAATAGATAAGCCATATATTATTGCAAATAAAGAATATAGAACACCAAAAAAATAGAAAAGAAGTTAGAAGTTAGGTCATAAAATAATGTATTTATTATTATTTACGAAAGAAAAATAATATATTTACACAAAAAATTCATAAATATAAATAATTTATGGAAGATTCGAGTTTATCAATATCTAGTATATAGCATCCATTATTCTCGGAACAAATTTTTGTTTGATTTACAACATTAATTATTTGAATGGAAAAAAAAATCGTAATTGTTGTGATATCTCAATTCAAAATCTCAATTTTATGGCATAAGAATCTCTAAATTTGTTACCAATAAAAATGAGATTAATATGGGGTTAGAAATGAATTAAATTTTGGCAAAAGAATTGTTACCATAAGAATCTCAAATTTGTAGGGATATCTCAATTAAATTTGATTCCTAAAGATTCGCATGTGTATTTTACGAAATTTCCATAAAAAAATATATCTTTTTAGTCAAACTTACTATAAATGTATATTTTCAACAACCTTTTTATATTAGTAGTACGTACGCCGTGAGATTTAACTTACTTTACCCAATTTTATTTTATTTTATTTTATTTTATTTTATTTTCTTTCAAGCCTTCTTCTACGACGTGAGTGTTGTACGTTCAGCAATGGGGAATATGTCAAAGCAGGATTGGCCGAGCTAGAATTAGGGTGCTGCCAAGCAAAAGAATAAGTAATTTCTTCTGATTAATAAATAATCCTTACCTTTTTTTTTATGTCGTAACTGATTATATTTTTCACTTTTCCTGCTTTGGGTCTCAGTATGCAGGCTCAGCTTGGGATGAACTCAAACACATAAGACAGGCTGTTGGGTTCATGGTAAGTTCCGTTTTCGTGCATATTTATTTTACTCACTTATCTATATGCGATTCCTGCAATGCAGTAATTCAGTTTATGTCTTCCTGCAGGTTATACATCAGAAGTACAGAATATCATACGACGAGATCACCAATGATTTATGCCCAGTAAGCCAATTTATTAGATCCCGAATAAAATATTAGGGATAATTCCAACAAAATATGTTTTAGAAAATACATTTTGATACGATTTTGAAAAATTAACCATATTAATCGATTGTGTCCGTCTTTCCAGATTCTGAGTGTCCAGCAGTTGTACAGAATATGTACTTTATACTGGGATGATAAATATAACACGAGAAGTGTGTCACCTGAAGTAAGTACTTCTGGCAATAAACTTGTTCTGCCACATGTTCTCTGGTTAAGGTTATAACAATGATATATCCTAACTCTAATGACAGGTTATATCCAGTATGAGGGTCCTAATGACAGAGGAGTCGAGTAATGCTGCCAGCAGCTCGTTTTTGTTGGATGACAATTCCAGGTGATTAGCGTATATTTCTGTAAATTTCACAAACTGTGCCTCTTGATAATCCAACATATAAACAGAATGAGAAAAAGAAAGAAAAAACGAACTAAATCTCCAGAGCTTATTATCAACACCCCCATTTGTTTCAATTTGTACATGTTCAGTGTTATTATTCCATTGACAAAGAACAATAGTAAACAAAAATGATCAGATTATATGTTATATTTTTTTTCTCCAATTCATTCATCGGTATGGTTTTCTAACATGTCGATGTGTGTGCAATGCAGCATACCATTCTCGATAGATGAACTTTCCAATTCGATAGACGTGAAGCCTGCCACAGACCTCTTCAAGAATCCTGCCTTTGGATTTTTACACAGCTAAAGCATGTCAGTGTTTGGTTCTTGTTTGAGCATGGCAAAGCATCATTTCCAGCGTCTGAATTTAGCAGTGTAAATTTGTCTTTTTTTTTTTTTATTATATATTGAATATAAAAACTTTTTTTTTTCAAGATGCTTTACATATTTATTCTTAATATAAGGTATTATTGGCATCATTTAGAGCCAGGAAAATTCTTTCAATGTGCAAAAATACCTTTGATTTTGTATTCGTTTTCCCCGTGTGCCAAAATTGGCATCACTTTCTTTTCTTTTTTCTTTTAATTATACTTCATAGTTAGGGAGCGGACACTTTTTTATGTGTCTCGTGGTGGTTTAGGAGTAACCACCCCTACCTTTTTATGTAATGATTGATAACTATTGGAAGGAACATATGATTGTGAACATATATAGTGATTGTAATTATATACGTTTTTACATACACCACCACGGTGGCCTTG